ACAGGTCAACAAGTCAGCAGCTCTTTTTGCAACGGAAACGGCAAAAATCCAAAAAGGAAACCTTGAACCCAGTCCACAAAAAGAGTTCCCCTCGGCCTAAACGACCATTTAACAGACACTTGTGTGGCCCATTTTGTCCGCCTTGCCGCGACAAATTGTGTAAAAAATAAAATAGGTTGCTGGACAAAAATTGCAGAGAAAGCCGGAAAATTTAACAAATCCTCAAATAATTTGAACGTCTGGGCGCAGCACTCTCTATGCTAGTGTGTGTGTGGGTGTGTGTGTTTGGGGGCGTGGCAGCATGGTAACAGTATAAATTTCCACCTGTGCTCTGTGCGAGGAAAAACATGCTGCCACTGCAATTTTCGCCTTTCGCATTGGAAAATGAATGCAAAAGCGAGCAAAAATCGTCAAAAAAAATATATAGAAAACCTGGTATTTCACCCACCCACACACACACACACACACAAGTGAGATCGAAAAAGGATAATAAAAAGCTCATTGCAACAAATTCCTGCACAATTTTCTGGTGTTAGATTAGAAACGGTAGGCGAGGGCTTTTGAAAGGAACCACCTTCAAAAGGAGACCAGACACCACGTGAAACCATGGTCCTCCATTTTTCGACTCATTCCAGAGGCCAGCAATTTTACTTTTCCTATTTTCTTTTATTATTTAGCCCGGCTATGCGAGTGTGCCTCACTTTCAGCTGTTTGATCCTTGCACTTTTTCATAGCTTTTACCCTGCAACCTCCTTGTTCCACCCCACTATCTATTTCCCTTTTTATACTTTTTTTCGTACTTGAACATTTCCCACGTTGCTTTACACTTGGGCACTTGTTCGTGGGATTTTATGAGCTTAGTTGGCGATTTAGCGATGCTTGTCTTATTTAGTTTTTAAATAAATGGCCAAGGATGTTAAGTTGGCTTTCGCTTGGCGCTGTTAAGCGGAAGTGGCTGAAACTTGTTGGATTTCCTATGGCGGCACCCTTTATCTGATTTTAAGGATTTGGAGGGCATTAGATGTATCTATATGTCAAGAAATTATTTAAATATTAGAAGTTATCTTAAAGGTATATAAAAGTATAGTTCGTCACTTTTTTAATCATGTTTTTTTTTTTTGTTTAACATGGTGTGAAACACCACACTTATAACTACAGTAGGTTTAAGAAATAAATATCGAGAAATGAAAACTTTTGTGGTGCCACATTGGTTACACGGTTCAGAGAATGTGTTTGCAATTAGTGAACGGAAGACATTAAATTGTGATATAGCATCCCCCAGAAGCCAACCGAAAAGTGGAAAATGTGCCATTAAAAGCCAAACACCACGGAGTCAACTCTTTAAGCGTAAACAGAAAAGGAGGGCGGACCAGACTGTCACGGGTTTTTGTGCTTAAATTTCATAATCAACACAAAGGACAGGCACAGACACAGACACAGATACAGACTGAGTCCTGGATGTTGGCGTTGAATGGCTCCAGCGATCCGGGAGAAGGGAGAAGGCGACTTGGTCAGAATTGGTGGTTCTGCGATTGCAAGGACTACAGCTCATGTGCCTGTGACTGACGGAGTGGGTCTGTATATGTGTTTGTGTTTGTGTTTGTGCAGGACAAACAACAACAGCAGGAGCATTCATTTTCGCTAAACCAGAAGAAGTGACATAAAAATGCATTAAGCTGAAATTGTCAACAATTTTTCAAGCCACCCCCAAAGGACCAAGGAGCATCAGCATCCCCGACGCGTTGGCGTCAAGTCCGCCTGAATAAACCTCCCTCTGTTTTCGAAACGGGAGGCTGATAACCCCAGATGGCAGTCAAATCTGACTGAATAATGACTGCACAATGTCGAGATACTAATAGTGAGGGATGGGTCCAGAAAGGGGCGATTGCAAGCTGGGATTCGTATTGGGTTTCAGCGAAATAGGATTTTACATAATGTCAGCACAAATTATGATGTATTTGGCGCCAGTTATACCCATGATGTTTCCGAGGTTGAGGGGCTAAGTGCTGAACATTGAACAACCCCAAGTTTCCTGCTAATAGAAAATTAAAATGCCAGTTTGCAGTTTTGGCCCATCTGTTGCATGGGAGTAAGTGTTACTCAAAAGCCAAGCTCCATAAACTTGTACTTTGAAAACTTTGCTTCACTTGGCCAAGATACTCATACTTAGTTACTTGCCGGTTCCTTCGTGTAAACTGTGTGGTCAGTCAGGCAAATTCTGCTCTCGGACTGGGAGTTCATGTGGAAGAGAAATTATGGGCTAGATGGGGTCATAGTCCTGGCCAAACTTTTAGCTTACTTCTGCATAGTTTTGCTCTTTTCAATTAGCTGGCCGTAAGTTTCCGAAATATGCTTTGGCAGTAAGTGTCATAATTTCAACAGCAGAGAGTTAAGAAAGGATATTCTAAGGTCGAAATTGAATTCATTCCGAACAGCACTCAAGTTAACTTTCCAAACTAAAGTCACCAGGTAAAGAAACCAATAAAATATAAATTGGTATTTTTAATATTTTTATGGGATCTAATATACAAGCAATTTGAAAAGCTCTAGTCTATTATTGTTCGTTTCATTCGGGTTAACTTAGAGCCAAAATATAAAATTTATAATTTACAAGTTAACTATATACAGGTATATTCGTGCAGGCATTGTAATAAAAACTCGATTAATTCTCAAATTGTGTTAGAGGCGCACTTAAGTTCAACTAGGGCACATGTTCTTGGAAAAGAGTTGCAAAAGGGAGGTGCACAAAAGCCACGTACACCATCCAATTCGATTATATGATGTCGCTTAATCCAACTAAAATCCTTGGGCTGCAACAAATGTAACCAACCCGCAGAGCAATCTGTTAGCCGAAGCGACACTTGGAGCACTCCCATTTCCCATTTCCAGATCCACATGGTGTAAATCAGAGCGCTGCTGGACATTTGCTTGACACTCGAGTCTGGTCGGCACTTCTTAATATATGCCATGCATGTTGCATAAACAAGATTTAAACAAAAGGCAGCGGCAGAAGCAAATATTTGCCGCCGCGTGTCGCCAACAATGAGGTTGGATGCTCTCCAAGGACTTAGAGCAGAGTGTGGGCAGGATATCCACGGTGGCTAGGGGGATGGCCGGGATGCCCTGCTGAATCTGCCTTCTCACTGCCACACTGCGATGGTGAGTACGGTCTCGTTTTTACTTTGTGTGCCTCTCACGTCGTGCTCGTTATTCATATTTATTGCACACGTTGTGGGGACGTAGTTCCACCTCCAACGGAGGAGTCCTGCGGGACCTCCCGCATCCCCGCATCCCCCATTCCCCGCTGCCTCGGCCAGCCGACAAATGGACGGGTTGCATGTGCATTGTCCTTGCGAGCGGGTGGTGGCCAAGGGCTTGGGGGCCTAATAGGCGTACTCCTCGTGTCTAGCTGTAAAAACTTTGCAATTACAGTTATTTGATGGGATTCAGAAGGCACCTCCCACGGCCGTGCTGGCTTGTTTGGACATTCATTTGTTGCCGGATTGTTGCAACCTTGTCTATTTAGTGTGGCATGAAATGGAAGCCACAGCAGGCACAAGGCGCCAAATGACAGAGAAACTACAAAAGAGACTCTAGCCTAATGAAAGGGAATTGAGTTGCAGTCGAGGGAAATCGCTTTATAATGGTAACTCGACTTGAACATAGGTAGAGTGGCTCCCGAGAGCCGTGTAATTGGATAAAAATTACAGTTTTCATATCTGAAGTGGTCTTTGGCTCATGACAGGTTTTACAGGGCTCGCGGGAAAATTGGTTACAGATTTCATGAACAGAAATTCCGAAGCCGTTTATATCATAAATACACGTTACACCTTCACATAATCAAATTTTATTCATTTTACAGTGCATATATAATTTTAAAGATCCATAAGACACTTTTGGGCCAATAAACATTTTAAACATTAAACATTAAGCATGCTTAGCACTTAACATATAATTCCCGGTAAGGGTTTATCCCAGATATAAAAAATCAAATACCTTGACTCCGAGTTTATGAATGTGTGATGGCCTCTCAGCAGCGTTACATTTTTTACGACATGGACATAAAATCCATTTTAATTTCATCTCACATAATCAGCCAACAATTTATTCATATTTTATTGGTGAAAAACAATAAATGCGAGCAGTTGGAGTGGGAGTGGGTTGAATACACATCGACTGTTTTTGCCTGTGCCTGTTATAAGCTGATTTATAATGCCAAGCTGGGACCAAAAATAAAAAAAATCGTGAAACAGGAAATCAGACATACGTAGAAATGTCAGACATATCCTGAAAATATATTTTTATAAATACATATGGGCGAGCATATGGGTATGTGAGTGTTCAGTCAGTTAGAGATTTGTGGCATAAAACCATGCTGAAAGCCATGTCAATACGTGATCAGACTGGATATTAAAAATTCTAAATTCAATAGCGGATGGTCGATATCTAGTTGCTCTTTCAACGAAAAATAAAATAAAAACATAAACGTAACATACAAGTTGAACAGGCAACAGGAGTATGAATATGTTACATTTAAATCAGTTAAACTAGTTTATTTCTGGATTTCTACATGTTCGAGATTTTATAGTTATTATAAACGCCGCTTAGAATTCCAAATATCAGCTCAAGCGAAAGGGTAAAAGCTTGGCCTAAAATGTCCTGGGAATTGTCGAGTCAATAAAATCCGCTTGGGATTTATTTAATATAAATTCCAAATAATAAAACACAAAATGTGCGTAATAAATTATGCACAACGGTCCGGCCAAAACGAAGAAATGTTGTTAAAAAAAAGTTAAATGATAATAAAATAAAAGCAAACAGTGAATTAAAAATGCGAATCGCGATGATTTTTTATCGCCTGCGGATGATTTCTATTAGACACGACCCGCGGGACTTGTTTGTTTAGTCCCTTTTCGCGGAAAGCATGGCAGCTTTAAATAATTAAATATTATTTGTTGGTAGGTTCCTTTTTCATTAGGCGTGTTATTGTTCCATTTCAGAGATGACCACGGCTTTACGGGATGTCCGGGTTCGAGTTCCCCACGCGGTGAGGCGCAGTGAGAAGGCCACACTGAAATGCTTCTACGACATCGAGGATGACAGTCTGTACTCTGTGAAATGGTATAAGGGCAGACGGGAGTTCTATCGGTACACTCCAAAGGAAAAGCCGCCCATGAAGGTCTTTCACTTCCCAGGAGTCAAAGTGAGGGTGAGTTGAAAACGGTTTTTGTTTGTCATTTTACCATAATGCAATTGCCACGTTTTTTTTTTTTAATCTGCTGATCATAAAAGCAATTAATATAATTATGTTGTGTTATGTAATATTTAATTAATTAATGTCTTAGCACTTTTACGATTGAAATCACATCAGCAAATCACACCTCTTTTGTTAGGTATTCAAATAAATCTGGCAAGGGAAACTGTATTATGGCCGTCGATTTTTATTTTAGTTTTCCCATGCCATTCGCAAAGCCAATAAAAGAGCGGATGAAACAGGAGCAAAAATCGAAGCCAAATAAATTAAACAAAACTAAACGGGTTGCGGCTTAAACAATGTAAAACATTTGCATTTCCAGGGCATTCAAATCGAACGAAACGCTACAGTTAACGAGGAAGGCACACACATGTGAAATTTCAATGCGCAATCAAATCAAAACACGGTTTTTAACTTCCGCTTCATGGCAGTTAGAAGCCGGAAAAACAGAGGCCCCGTGTGCTGAACTTTTGCATTCGCTATTCCCTTTCGGGTCTTGATCTATGCTTTTTAGTTTTGGAAATGCTCCGGGCATTGCCGGGAATATTTTTCAATAAATATTGGCATTTTTAAATTGGTTTCAAAATTATTCAGGCGTATAAAGAAACACGTTGGCATTTTATTTATTTGCTTACCGCTTTTGTGTGTTTGTCGTATTTTTCATTCCAATTTCTGTATCTCACTCATGTGACAAAAATACGAGCAAAGTTCATTTCTTTATTTTGGGAGTTCCTCTTTATTGAAACTAGCGAAAATAGTGGCAGAATGCAGTCGGTTGCCAATAGAAAAAAGGAAAGTATACGAAAAAGTGAAATGCACAATTTACAGTCGAGAATTTATAAAAACATTGAAATCCTGTTCAAATGCCTGACAGAGAATATATTTTAAAAGTGTGCATACTTCTAAGGCAATAATTCTGTGTGTTTCAAGCAAGACTTCTGGTATCCAGTGAATGCTAAAATATATTTTCGACATTGAGTAAATAAATAAATGATGATAAATTAAAGGATTACAAATTCCTAGAAGGTAGGACGATAAATATTTTACTACCAGCATCAAAAAACGGCCGCATATTTTAAACTATTATTACAAGCCCCTCTATTAAATATGAGTAAAACGAATATAAATGGAAGCCGGAAGTAATCCAACGAGATACGTTTGCTGAAATTTTTCATCTGGCCAACAAGAACGATATGTATAAATAAATATGGGTAGAGGTTCGCTCTGGACAGTTAAAAAAATATATACGTTTTACATCCCTCCTCCACTCATGGTACCTGTATTTTTGTTAACTTTTTTGCAGCGCGTGTCCTCGAACGAGAGCCAAGTGGTGCTCGATGCGGTAACAATGGCTACATCCGGTAAATACAGTTGCGAAGTATCGGCGGATGCGCCCTCATTTCATACATTAATAGCGGCGGCAGAATTGGAAGTTATTGGTAAGTGAAAAATGCATTCACATAAAAATAAGTTGAGAAACATTTCCGCTTATATGGTCGAAGGGGGTATCCGAATCAGATGAAATTCGTTAAAGAAGTTGCTGCGACTCAATAAGGAGCTTTAAGTTAGCTTGGGCTCGGCATTAAGCTTGGGCACATATCAAACTAATTTCGGTCTTCGGAAATGTGAATGCTCAACTAAATTAATTTTCATTTTCATTTCGAGTGTTTCTCAACTCGAAGAAAAAGTCAGAAAAGTCAAGCTTTCCCCAGGCGGAGTCAAAGACAGAGACAAACTTGCCAACTTGACCAACTGTCGTATTCAATTGGCCGGACCAAAGACCAAGAAGAAGACCTTCCGGAAAGACTCAAAATACTTGTGTGTGGGGATTGTGGACAGAAAACTTAAAAATAAACTCCAAGTTCGAATGTTTTGGCAGTTAAGCAGACAAAATACAAACAAATTTGAGGGCAAACGAGATAAAGATGAAGACATTTAAGCCGGCAAACAAAGTGAAAGCCTTGAGAGCAAACATTTTGGCAATGCCAATGGAGACGGTCAATAAACTGCCGAACCGACTGTGTGGGTTGTTTGGGCTAGGAAACGTTGACGTAGGTGAGCTCAAATTGGCTTGAAAAACTTTTGAAAGTGTCTATTTCATGTTTATGTGTCACATGGATGCGGCTGTGAGTCTGCAGACTTCCATTTCGGTGTTCAAGGGTAATGGACAGCTCGAGGAATTTTGTTAGGATATATCTGAGGCTGATGCACTTGGAAGAAAGTTGCCTCACTTAGTGCAAAACCTACTAAAAAGATTTTCATTTAAATTAAGAGAAAATGTAGCTTTACACAAAACAACCTAAATTTCTGTTTCATTCATACAAACTTTATTAATAAAAAAAAAATATAACTTAAAAAAAACGACAAATAGTTCAACATATGATACGCTACTATTTGAATGTATTTTGATTTTTGCGTTACGGCTCGTATCTGTTTGGAAATTTCGGGCATTGCTTTGGGTCTCATTGCAACACGAAATTAAAATTCCAACTCTGCAGACCTGGAGAGTTCGTAATTATTTCAATTATGAAATGGTCCTCGACGCACACACATACACAGTCCCACATCTGTGGGATATTGATTGGGGAACACATGCACCCACACAAGCATCCACATGTACATACATCGACATTACATTACACATACGCGCTCGGCGGCAATCCCAATTGACAGGACGACAGGTTGGGTCAGAAGTTCGGGCCGGATTCTGGTTTTCCGATTGCCGCAGAGAATCAAAAATATAGTGACAATCGATCCGGTTTACTTTTGAACTGATGCCATCTCATTTTTGCCTATTTTCCACCTCTCTGTTTACTTATTTTTTTTCGTCCTTGCAGAAACGCCCCACAATGCCCCATTCATAACGGGCATACGTCCTCGATACCGGGTCGGCGACATATTGCGAGGTAATTGCACATCGCGACACTCGCGGCCGGCGGCCAATCTCACATGGACAGTGAATAATGAAGAGGTGAGTGCCGTGCCCAGCCCCCCATTAATGTAGCCATCCCCCCACACCCCTGAAACCCCGCGTGCCAACAACCTGGATGCGCCCAAAATTATGCAAACACAATTTTCTTGTTTTCAAGCGCTGGCATCTGCCGCGAATTTATGCGCCTGCTTTTCGGTGCACGGGAGTGGGGCTAAAGGTCCCCCTGTAATTACCAGAAAAACACACGCATTCGCGGATATCAACTCAATGGTTTTCCGCCCCTGACTGGTCCTGCCCCTTTTTTGGTCAAATATTAGGCGCACTTTTTTGCTCAGCCCAACCATATCCATATCCCGAAAACAGGGCATATGGAAATGGACCGGGCAATCGGAACCATTGAGAGGCAGTGGAAAGCCCTCTTAAGTTGGGAACAACTTTCAGTGTTTTGCATATTCCAATCTTTTTTGCATATTACAATTAGTTTTGCCCCTTGTTGGAATTTAAAATTACCAGTAAGACTGCAATGAATTATAGGGAAAAGTGCAACAAAAGTCTTTGATACGGTTGGAAATTTCAAATTCTTAATTGAAGTATAATAAAATTCAAATGCTTCACTTTAAATTGCTCAATACGGACACATTTATTTTATATCACTTGCATGGAGAAAAGGTTTTATATTCATCTTCTATAAGAGAAGAAAAAAATTCAATAATTGTAAAGATAGCAGTGCAACATTGAAGTTACTATTTTCATATTAGTCTACAAATGTGTTTAATGCCTTTATCCAGCGAAGCAAGGATATGTTCCGAGAACGAAACATACAGAAAATAGAATAATAAAGCTAAATAATTAGCTTACATATGCTGATCAAGCGGAAAAGCGCGCGGAAGAGAAAGAAGAGGCCGCAGAGCGGGACAGCGACAGATTCAGCATCACTCAACGGCAAACAATGCTTATTGATGCTGCATAATACAAGCCACAGCGGAAACGGGGAAACGGGGAAATGGGTAACAGGCGGTTGAGAAAACAAGGCTAACACGTACACTGACGCACACATGCACACATGCATGCAGCACACACACTCACCCACTCGGCGAATACATGTGCACGTTAAGGCCCACACCTACACAGACCACAATGGGGCGATGGTTGAATGGAAAAGCGATTGCCACCAAACCGGTAGGTGAATTGAGTTGAGTTGGCCACGCTCGGTTGATTGGATCTGCGAAGGCCAGGCTTTCACTACACTCCATGCCACTCCACGCCGTCCCCGCTCGTTGGCCACAAAATGCGCTTAAACAATAAGCCAACAAAGACATACCGCCAAAACCAGGCAACAAACCATCTAAACAAACGCGAAACAGTGCAACTAGCCGAAGTTTGACGCACAAAAAGAAAAATCTCCAATTGCTCTTGGCGATTTTAAAGAGTACCCAGATGGCAATTACCAGCTAGAAAGTCAATCGAATTCCCTGTTTTAAAAGGCTGAACACTTCAAAGATAATTGCTTTCAAATGCCAAAACCTGGACAAGTAACAGTGATTGCCATTTGCATTTAACCTTTCATTTGTGAATGGCCTTCTAAAGCAGAGCCCAGTTCCCCAGAAATTTAAAACCTAGTATTGTTACTGTTTTTTGATTTTTTTTAACCAAACAGCCAAACGTTGAAAACTTGTAAATAGCATATATTCCTAACATTTAACCCATGTTCTCCAGGTAAATCCGGCCCTAGTGCGACACCATAAAATACTTCGTGATGCTCGTAACGATATGGAAACTGCTGTTGTGGGTATCCACTTTGTAGTCACCGATCAGCACTTTGATAATGGAAAGCTTAAGGTTTGTTGTTAATTTATATTTTAAATTTAATTTATTGCTAACAAATATAAACGGCATCCCACAGCTCCGCTGCAGTGCCCAATTGCACGATGTCTATTGGAAAACCACCGAAAAGATTGTGCTCGAAACAGATCTTTTTCCAAAACACGGAAACGGGCCCAATGGCAATCATGTAAACAACGACGATTTCTATGATCAATATGCTCTGCACGAGGATCATTTGCACAATAAAAAGAACAGCTACCTGACGCAGCTACAGGGTGAGTTGGACAGCCTAATATTTTACTATTTAAACAACACACCTACAGCACACGAACACTTTCGCAAGTGATTAGAAAGATCCAATAATTACAGACGAACTTTAGTAACTTTCAACTTGTTTCTTTCCAAAGCTAAATGCTCCACAAACTTCCAGATACCTTTATTCCATGCACTTGGATAGATTAAATTCAAAATAAATAATATTTTCTCAGCACAGGGTTAACTTTCAATACTTTAAAATTCTTTAAAAGAATCTTATTTTGACTTTTAAACTGTTTTTTTTTCCATTTAAAATTTTATTAATCGATATAACAGTGAGGTACAAAAGTTCGTCTGTAGTAAAATGGAGGAAATTTCCGAAAACATCCAGTACATGGCCTGCATTTCTGTCTGCATTTCTCTCTATTCCTCGCTAGAATTCTTTTTCTATCATTTTGTACCCTCAGGCGAAGAAGACGACGGAACCGAGGGCGGATTAGGGGATGGAGGAGCCGCTTGGCGAGGCGCCGGTTCGTCCAGTTCCCGCCTGAGTCCGAGCTCAAGTCAATCCTGTTGGATGGTCGGTGGATCGCTAATGGCGGTGCTCAGTTGGACGCTGGCCAGGCAATTAGTGTCGCCGGTGCAGGCGGTGATGACAAAGACCGGCGGTGCAACGTGCAACATGAGCGGAAGGTGCACAAGCCGGCGGACAAGACCCCATGGAATGCGGGTCAGCGCAACAAAGCAAAAGCAAAAGCAATGGCAAAGGCAAAGGCAAATGCAGCAGGAGCATCGCAAGTGCTGCCTGCGGGTGTCGAAAAGCAGCTGGAAAGGACGTGGATATGTGTGCGGATGTGGATTCGGCAGGATCAACAGCAGATGTATCAGGCAATTAACATGATTCAATTGTCACACAACTCCAGTGCCACAAGCCAGGGGTCGAAATTAAAGCGAAGTCCAGCGAAAGCTATAGTTAGAGGATATTGGGGGAGAGTTCAGCCCAAGGCCAAGACCCAGAAGCAACTGCAGGATGTATCTAAAGTAATTACACTAACAAGACACCAGACACTCGTTTCAGCTAGCTCAAAGTAACTTCAAATGCATTTAAGGGAAGAATACAAAACATACAAGACAATGTAAGCCAGATACGCGATATACAAGCAAAACGCCAGTTCGTTATAAATTCAACGATATCTATTTGTTTGACTTTCCTAAGATGAAGATGGCCTGGAGGTTTACGCTTTTGACAGCTTTCAAAAATACGATTTCTTGTACTTCTCATAATGTTAATTTTATTCCAAAACCTCTACAGAGATAATTTCACAAAGCAAATGAAGAATGTTGTGCTAAGCTTTTAAATTTAGGTTCTCTATACATTTATATTTATATATGAAAGTCAAGATTATTTATAAAACGTATAAATGATATTTATATATATGTATATGTTCTATATAAAACGAAATTATAACATATGCGCCTAAATGTATTTGCCCCAAAAAGAAAACAAAACATGAGGCAAGAGTAAGCAATTAGGTCGTAAGTCTAAATATTGCCTATATATGTAAAAGTATATATGTATTGTAATTGTATATATTATATAAAAAAAGCGAAACACAAAGATCGAGACATGTATGATATAAGAATTTACGGTAGATAATCAAAATAAAAACGAAACCGAGAAAAAACGGGTATTTCATTTGATGGGAATTAATCAAGGCTAATTGCAACTAGGTTTTCTTCTTTCAGATAATTAACTTACACATCTCATTCAAATAATTAGTAATTAAAAAAACAAATTATTTCCTTCGTAATTAGATTTCTTTGTAAACCGTCATATAATCCATTTTCCGCACAATAACATAATAAATTGCTTCACATTTGTCAGTTTCTCAAGAAACAAAAAAACCAAGAAACGAGAATGTAGCCCCTGGCTTTGATGCTCCCGGGGCATTCTCTTATAATAAATGACCAGTAATAAATGCGAGCTGGAATTGGGGACTCGAAAGGACATCTCGCAACGGCCATTAGCCTCTGCTGTTGTCCTTGTTGCTGCCAAACAATTAGCATAACTAAAACGCTCAATTAAGCGCCTAAAATGCTCCTGCAGAAGGACCTCTGATCCTTTGTCCAAAGCTCTGTCTCCTTCGGGCTAATGCAATTTTCACCTGGCTCCTTTTATTACACACTTCTTCGCTTTCCCTTTTATTTTTGCTGGCCCTCCTTTGCATTGTGAGTTTTCCTTGGTTTCCCTCCCCATTGTCTGTCGCCGCGTAATGTTTATTTTTAATTATATTTTTTTGCCCATTGCTGTTTTTGCCCGGCGCCTCCATTTGGTGGTTTCATTTTTGTGCATGTGCTCTTTGGTTTTTGCCAGCAGTCGGTGGGTGTAATAAACGTTAATGGCGGTTGACCACAAAGAGAAATGGTCGCACTTCATTCTTGGTTTATCGGGCCGAAGACAATTCTCTGTCTTACAGGCATTAAATTTAAGTGGCCCCGTCTTAATTGGAATATTGTTATCAGCTGTTTAGGGGCTTAATTATGGCAGAATCCCTATCACGAAATCAGCTGGAGTTGAATAATATTCAGGCAAAGTACGAAAATCGTTTACCATTTCGAGCGGAACTTCTGGCCAGAAGTTGCCAACAAAAATCGGCTAAAAGCATTTAACAGCCAAAGTCAAGCCCGACAAGAAGTGCACGAAGACGAAAGCCATGGAACTTTCCATTCTATTTGGGATAGTTCTTTTTTATCCTTTGTTGGCTGCAGCTGAAGAAAGTTTTGTTCGCCTGCCCCAAACAAGAAAAGAAAGTACAATAAAAAAAAAGGAATTTAATAAAGTTGACGTCTTAGAGGGAAAGTAAAGCGGCTTTTAAAAATGTTGCAGGCACAACTCGGCTTTGGCTTTTCACTTAGCCAGCAACACGAACAACAGCCAGATACATTTAAGTAGATGTAGCTACATATTCATAATGCTGATTTCCGCCCCGCACCTCGCCGTTGTCCTGGAGATTGAAAATTTATTCAAAAGTCTGCCGAGTTTTGTCAAGTCTGTCACGAAGGCGGGGCCCGAGTCCTGCAAGTGGCTCCGCCCCAGGATAATAACTTTAACTTGGGAAGTAGCCTGGCAAGCCGCTTTCCTTTGTTAGTTCCCCGCTTTACCAAGCCCCTGAACTGAAATTTACATTCGGGGATACGTTTAAGTAGGAGAAAGTAAAGCTGCCTGTTGTCGTAATTGTGCAGAAACTCAAGATGTTTGCCATGAATATTATGTGTGATTAGAAACACTTGAGAGGTCGTCAACTGCAAACCGGCTGCAGAGGCTGCTGCATTTTAGATAAGCACTTCACTAATTTTGCATTACATTCCTATGAGTTTTATTTTTTGAGGCAGAAATTAGCCATGTCATTTTTATAGCTTTCCATCTGAAGTCTGTAATGTAGTTTTTCATATGCATCGACTTCTATCTACTACTACTTGAGCAAGAATCGGCGTTTTTAAAGGTATCAAGTACGTTGTATACCATTTTGAATAGCCATTTGATAGCTGCCTAAAACCACTTGGACTGCTAAAAAATTAAATACAAATTGTATTTATACCCGTTACTCGTAGAGTACAAAAGTATACTAGATTGGTTGAAAAGTATGTAACAGGGACAGGGAAGCGTTTCCGCCCATATAAAGTGTATATATTCTTGATCAGGATCTATAACCGAGTCGAACTGGCATTGTCCGTATGAACGCCTCGATCTCTCGATTCTATCTTTTTTTTTAAATTTTTTTTGATGTGATGATGTTGTAAAAACTAAAAAATGTCCCAACGCTGAAGTTCTAAACTCCATAACTCAACTTATCTTAATTGGATTTTGAAGTGGCATACCTCTAAATGTTTCTGGCGCAATTATCTAAAAAACTGCATTCAAATTTAAAAATTTATTTTTTTTGATTTTTTTTGTAATTTTTCTGATGTAGAAATTCAAAGAAACTAAGAAATGTCCCATATCCGAAGTTCTAAACTCCATAACTCAATTTATCCTAATCGGATTTTGAACTGGCATACCTCTAAATGTTTCTGGCGCAATTCTCTAAAAAACTGCATTCAAATTTAGAAATTAATTTTTTTTGACTTTTTTTGATGTATAATGTTGTAGAAATTCAAAGAAACTAGGAAATGTCCCATATCCGAAGTTCTAAGCTCCATAACTCAACTTATCCTAATCGGATTTTGAAGTGGCATACCTCTAAATGTTTTTGGCGCAATTCTCTGAAAAACTGCATTCAAATTTAGAAATTTATTTTTTTTGACTTTTTTTGTAATTTTTTTGATGTATAATGTTGTAGAAATTCAAAGAAACTAGGAAATGTCCCATATCCGAAGTTCTAAACTCCATAACTCAACTTATCCTAATCGGATTTTGAAGTGGCATACCTCTAAATGTTTCTGGCGCAATTCTCTAAAAAACTGCATTCAAATTTAGAAATTAATTTTTTTTGACTTTTTTTGTAATTTTTTTTATGTATAATGTTGTAGAAATTCAAAGAAACTAGGAAATGTCCCATATCCAAAGTTCTAAGCTCCATAACTCAACTTATCCTAATCGGATTTTGAAGTGGCATACCTCTAAATGTTTCTGGCGCAATTCTCTAAACAACTGCATTCAAATTTAGAAATTTATTTTTATTGACTTTTTTTGTAATTTTTTTGATGTATAATGTTGTAGAAATTCAAAGAAACTAGGAAATGTCTCATATCCGAAGTTCTAAGCTCCATAACTCAACTTATCTTAATCGGATTTTGAAGTGGCATACCTCTAAATGTTTCTGGCGCAATTCTCTAAAAAACTGCATTCAAATTTCGAAATTTATTTTTTTTGACTTTTTTTGTAATTTTTTTGATGTATAATGTTGTAGAAATTCAAAGAAACTAGGAAATGTCCCATATCCGAAGTTCTAAACTCCATAACTCAACTTATCTTAATCGGATTTTGAAGTGGCATACCTCTAAATGTTTCTGGCGCAATTCTCTAAAAAACTGCATTCAAATTTAGAAATTTATTTTTTTTGACTTTTTTTGTAATTTTTTTGATGTATAATGTTGTAGAAATTCAAAGAAACTAGGAAATGTCCCATATCCGAAGTTCTAAACTCCATAACTCAACTTATCTTAATCGGATTTTGAAGTGGCATACCTCTAAATGTTTCTGGCGCAATTCTCTAAAAAACTGCATTCAAATTTAGAAATTTATTTTTATTGAATTTTTTTGTAATTTTTTTTATGTATAATGTTGTAGAAATTCAAAGAAACTAGGAAATGTCCCATATCCGAAGTTCTAAACTCCATAACTCAACTTATCTTAATCGGATTTTGAAGTGGCATACCTCTAAATGTTTCTGGCGCAATTCTCTAAAAAACTGCATTCAAATTTTGAAATTTATTTTTTTTGACTTTTTTTGTAATTTTTTGATGTATAATGTTGTAGAAATTCAAAGAAACTAGGAAATGTCCCATATCCGAAGTTCTAAACTCCATAACTCAACTTATCTTAATCGGATTTTGAAGTGGCATACCTCTAAATGTTTCTGGCGCAATTCTCTACAAATCTGCATTCAAATTTAGAAATTTATTTTTTTTGACTTTTTTTGTAATTTTTTTGATGTATAATGTTGTAGAAATTCAAAGAAACTAGGAAATGTCCCATATCCGAAGTTCTAAACTCCATAACTCAACTTATCTTAATCGGATTTTGAAGTGGCATACCTCTAAATGTTTCTGGCGCAATTCTCTAAAAAACTGCATTCAAATTTAGAAATTTATTTTTTTTGACTTTTTTTGTAATTTTTTTGATGTATAATGTTGTAGAAATTCAAAGAAACTAGGAAATGTCCCATATCCGAAGTTCTAAACTCCATAACTCAACTTATCCTAATCGGATTTTGAAGTGGCATACCTCTAAATGTTTCTGGCGCAATTCTCTAAAAAACTGCATTCAAATTTAGAAATTAATTTTTTTTGACTTTTTTTGTAATTTTTTTGATGTATAATGTTGTAGAAATTCAAAGAAACTAGGAAATGTCCCATATCCGAAGTTCTAAGCTCCATAACTCAACTTATCCTAATCGGATTTTGAAGTGGCATACCTCTAAATGTTTCTGGCGCAATTCTCTGAAAAACTGCATTCAAATTTAGAAATGTATTTTTTTTGACTTTTTTTGTAATTTTTTTGATGTATAATGTTGTAGATATTCAAATTAACTAGGAAATGTCCCATATCCGAAGTTCTAAACTCCATAACTCAACTTATCTTAATCGGATTTTGAAGTGGTATACCTCTAAATGTTTCTGGCGCAATTCTCTGAAAAACTGCATTCAAATTTAGAAATTTATTTTTATTGACTTTTTTTGTAATTTTTTTGATGTATAATGTTGTAGAAATTCAAAGAAACTAGGAAATGTCCCAAATCCGAAGTTCTAAACTCCATAACTCAATTTATCCTAATCGGATTTTGAAGTGGCATACCTCTAAATGTTTCTGGCGCAATTCTCTAAAAAACTGCATTCAAATTTAGAAATTAATTTTTTTTGACTTTTTTTGTAATTTTTTTGATGTATAATGTTGTAGAAATTCAAAGAAACTAGGAAATGTCCCATATCCGAAGTTCTAAACTCCATAACTCAACTT